TCCAAAGCTGAACTACCACCTCAGGCTAGAATAATCTTTTGCCCAGATTTTTTGCCAGTTCTGCCAATGTGGGAGTTGTGAATTCTTACACAAGAATGCGAAAGCCTGGAATTTTTGGACAAGCAATTTGAAAATGGTGAAGCCATTACCTGTACAAAACCCAGCACCTAGGGCTGAGACCAAAATGTGTGTCAGTGGAGCTGGGCCATTTGTACCTGCTGAGCATCAGTTCTGAGGGAAGGTGAACCATGTTTGTGTTTCCATAGCTACGGCTGCAATGGCAAATCCAGTGTGACCCTCGATTGCACTCCTGTCCTGCATCCTCCTGGCATTTTCTGGTTGAGAAATGGGTCTGTTTTCCAACAAAAGGATAAGAGTGTTATGAAGTACTGTAATTTCAGTTCTGATACAGTCAATATTGTCCTGTCGTCTTTTGGTGGAAACACTGAACTTCAAGCTGTCAAAGAAAACAGGTTTCTAACTCAGTCAGAAATTTAGTTCACATACCTGGCACTAATAACGAATATCCTGCTGGTGAATTTTTGTTGGCCATGTGTTTCTTAGAAGATATTTATATGGGGAAAGAAAAAAAAAAATAGCAGTCCACTCCCACATTTTTGGGGGGTGGGGTGGGGAAGGGAGTCTATAAGCAATTAGAAAGGTTTTTTTAATTTTAAAGTATATATATTGAGGAATAGTGTGCTTAAGGAAGTTCAAAAAGGATAACGGGGAAGTGTGATTTGGTCTAAAATTGCAATTGGTAAAGAATAAGGAGAAGGATTCTTGCAAATTACTTGGAATCTGGTTCAGTTAGAATTTCTGACTGTGAAGAACTACTGTGACCTTTCATGTACTTTCAGTATTTGAAGAAACTCGTCAGTTGTTTCTTGAATACTTTACTGAAATCAACTTCTTTAACTTAATATTCTTTACAAATAACATTGGTAACTTAATAAGACAATAAAATTGAAAGTAAATACTCCTAAATATTCAGATTTTTCTATGCCAAAAATTATGGCACATATTTATGTGATTGTGGAAATGTTGGGCTGCCCTGAAGAAAAATAATTAACTGTGCCTGTAATTGAATTAATTTGTTTTTATTTACATCTGCACTGTTGTGAGTCCAACAACTTATTTTAAGTACACATAAAAAGTTATTGATATCAACAGGACTCTCTAATTGCTTAGTGTTAAGCATGTGAAAAGGTCTTTTTGGTCAGTGGGTGAGTGAGCTCTCCATCCTCTCTTAAAATTCAGCACACTGGCTTTTTGTGGAATTAGTGCAAAGGGACAATTCCCATAAGTAGTTGTACTGATTTGAGCTGAACTACTTGCATGTGTGAGGTAAGTATAATTTAGCCACAAATGAACTGAAAGAGGCAAGAGATTTTAGTGAGGGTGCAAAAATGACGATAAAGTTTACTAAAAAAAAAATTGTTCTTTTTATAACTACTTTGAGCAAACTGTCCACTAAAAATAACAAACCACAATGACTAACAGCACACTAAATAGCTATGCTTATATTTTTCAGTTATTTAATTAAAACACCTTTTGTTTAATAGGAAACTAGATTAAGCTCGAAAACTATTCTAAATATAATTTTTATCTGTTGGATATTAGTTTGCTTTATTTGGAAAAAAAAAGCCCAACAACCTCTTCTGTGTTCAAAGATCACATCAGATAACAAGAAACAGACCTATTATTTATGCTATTAACACTGAAATAGTTTTCTTGAGGTGCAATATTTATTTTTCTGCTTTAACAAGACACATTTATGGTTTCTCCTGCACAGCACAAATGTTTCTAGCAAAAGGAATTTCAAAAGGGCACTATTTTTGTGTATCATATTTAAATTTGTAATATTGTAAGATTTTGCACAAGTGTGCTGGTATTGTACTGTATAGTATCACATACTTGAGTTTTGAAATAAAATTATGGTTTCAAAGTTGTCAGTGTCTTTACCTTAAAGATTTGGGGTGCTCTGTCTACATATTGATGGCCATGTCCTCATGAAATAAGTCCTGCCTTGTCTACATTGTTACATGTTCCAAGGATCTTGCTCTTAGTCTTCCAGTTCTTCATGAAAATGGTGCAAAAGAGGAGAGCAAACTCCTGTGTCAATGGATAAAGTGTTTGGAAACAGGCTCATCCCTGCCATGCCCTACAAACCAGCTGAGAGAGGAAGCTGAAACATCCTGGGAAGAGTTTAACTCCTGCTTTGGAGGGAGGCCACGTGTGCCGGAGGAGGCCGAACATGGGAGTCACAAGGGAGATCTGTAACCCAAGGATTTGGGGTGAAAGGTCAGGAGTCTTTATTTGCTTTGTGCACTTGGGAGCTCTGGGAAGCCTGGGTCTAGTGGGGAGCAGACTTGCCTGACCAGCAGGTAGGAGTCAATCCTCAAGTTCTGAATCTCTGACGGTCTCTGCAAGGGGACAAACTCTAGGACATCAGCAACCTGGAAAGGAATTACTGTTTCCATGGAAAACCCTGATATTTGTTTTTTCTACGTGAACATTTTTTTTTTTTTTGTTTCCTCTACTCTTGTTCAGGTTTCAAGGTTCCTTTTGAAATTATTGTAGAGAACAGTTACATGTATTCTGCCTTAACAATAGTTTTCTGTTTAGTAATCCTCATCAGCATTTTAAAACATGCTGACATAAAAGGTTGGGAATTTTTCATATATGTTACAATAAGTACTTAGGTCAAAGACTAATTAATCATTCAGTACAGGTCTGTTTTTTTTTACCACACTGATTATGAAGAGGACACCAAAAGGTTAAAGACCTTTTGTACTGTTACAGTCCAGATAAGTGATCTTCCATGCAATTTTGGAGCAGCTGAACTATAAAAAGGAAGAAACACACAAAAAACAAAGTTATTTCAGTCTTGCCTTGTCATTCTAAAATTCTGTTCTCTCTCTCCTAATCTGTAAGACCTTGTGAAGTAGCTCATATTGTTTGGTGTTGCAAAGGTGTTTATCTCATTTTTACAGCTAAAAGTCCCACTAAACATCAAGAGTTTGACTAAAGGAACTTGACCAAGGCACAAAATGTTAAGATCTGGCAGGACAAGTAGCACGCAATTTTAAAATGTCAGAAACCCAGCTATTTATTAGTCTTCATGGTAGGAAATATTTAGCAGTTCAAGGTAAGCATTTTCAATGGAAAGATTTTGTTTGATGTTCTCAGTATTTTACAGCCACAGTCTATAGTCCATGAGAGTTACAGAATAGCTAATAATTAGTTTCTGCTTCCACCTTGTAAATGCCAGTGAATCCTCTTACAACCTTCAAGTGAGAGCTAAATCTGATTGCAGTATCTGACTTTGCCGTGGCTTTGCAGGGGCAGGTAAGTAGAGCACAAGAAGGGAGGGAACAGAAATTGGGGCTAGAACTTTGTCTAAAGATCTCATTGAGTTTTACCAAATTCATTTCCAAACTACAACCCAAACACAACACAATTTTCGTTTCATCACTGCTGATGGAGACATGATCTCACTGACCCCCAGCATTCTCTTCAGGCCCTGTCTGTGTTACAGAGCAGCATCTAATAACCCTGTCACATGCTGCTGCAGGAGATGTGCTTGTGCCCCATTAAAAGTTAATGCTATCTCATATATTAACTGGGGACTTTCTAAATGCAAACCACAGTTTAAAGAGGTAACTTTACTGTTACACTTGAGTTTATAGGACTCTGAAAACAGTCTGGGGACACTGGACATCTAAAAGTTTGCTGAATCACAAGTTGAACATGATGTAAGAAAGTCATACTGTTGCAAAAATAAAAAGACTGACACCATTCTGAACTGTAAAGCAGGTAAAGCAATTTATTAATTAGTCTTGACATTGGCAAGGCATCACATGGAGCAAGAGAGTGAGGCAGCAGGGGTTTCTTAGCTGAAAGAAAACTGAAAGAGACACAACTCTTTAAAACAATATAAAATAGTAACAAAACATAAGGGAGTAAACTATCTTCCATGTCCATTGCCAGCAGGAAAAGCAATGATAGGTTTATACCAGGGAACAGTTGAAGTCAAGTTAGTGCAGGGAACAGCTTTCAACTGTAAAGAATAGTGAGGCACTGAACAAGAGCATTAAAGGAAATGTTAGGAATCTGTCACTGGAAATCTTTGAGGACAGGTTAGACAAACATCTGTCAGGAATAACGCAGATACAGCAGACATGACTGACACTAAAGGAATTAGCCCATCCCTTGAACTCCATTCCTGCTCTGTGTTTATTGGAACCTCTGAAAAAAAAAAATCTGCTAAGACTTCTTGAAGTTTTTTTAAACTATAGCTGTGAGGACCATCTGTGTTTTGAATCAATCCAAAGGAATCACTGTTTTTTGGAATGTCACAAAAGGCAGCAATGATGGCAGTGGCTGCAACCTCTGTACCTATGGTCTCAAAAGGAATCCCATTTACAGTAGTGTATCTGCAAATCTCTTAATATTTAAGTTTCATATTACGTCTGTGTTATAGGAACTAATTTTGCATTGGAACTCTAAGGAAAAAAGTAAAACTACCCCATCAATACTAATAGGACAATGGGGAATAGATGCCCTTCCAGTTCCAATAAAAAAGAACAATTCTGTGTGGCGTATTGTGATACGATAGAAGATTTGTTTTATTTACCAGATGAATAGACAACATGAATAATGATCTGTTCATCAGTAAAACAGGAAAAAACAGCAAAAGAAAACCTTCTTTCGAAGTGTTTACTGACTTAGCAGTGTAACAGCCTTATCTCCCTTCCTCAGCCGTGCTTTGTGAATCAGCAGCAGTGACATTTTCCAGCAATCCCCACATGAAAGCCAGTGGAAAGGGTGATGAGGGATTTCCGCTCCGTGACCTCGCCCTGCAGTGGGACAGTCACCGCACTGGCTCTGCCATTCTTTCTATGAAGCACTGCAGTGACAGCTGAAGTTGCTTTCCAGAAGTCATCTCATCATCTGACAGCATCCAATACCTTAACTTTCCTTAGCCCAGGAGACAAACTACCTTGAATTTCCTACTTTTTCTGAGTTTTCCAAGCTGGTGGCAATGGCAAATTATTTTGGAGTTACCTCAACAGTGTCCTTCATCTGGGTTATGACATTCCTGGCTCAAAATTACTTTGTAACAGGTATGTAAAGTTCCACTTTTTCAAGTCTTGAAAAAAGTAGCTGGATTTACAAAAAAAAGTGGGGAAGGAGCATGTGTAAATGTGTTTCTGGCAGAGGAAGCCACGGGGCTTTAAGAATACAGTGCAACAAAAACTGGCATATTGGGTAAACCGTCGTTGTTGGTCTAATTCAATTGCTGAAAATGCTGAAGTCTTTGAATCTAAATGCCACAAAACTGCTTATTTTAAAGATCTGGTATGGCATGTAGGATTAAATTCAGATCTGTTGAAATGTAACTTCATTTTGTATCATTTTAAATACCAGAGCAAAACATGACACCAGTTCTCTTTCAAATTCCATTATTAACTTGACATAATCCATCCTTACTGCTGCTGGGATATCTGCAGATGCTCAGTGCACACCAAAAGCCTCCAGATGCTTTTCTGTTTTTCAAGGATTTAATGCTTGTTCTATTTATGTTAAAGAACATATACTGTTATTGCAGACAGTTGATTTTCTCACCTACTAAAAGACTTCCGGAGTGAGTGAATTAGATGCTCAAGTCCTGTTGAAATTCCACAGGACTGGAGTACCTAACAGCAGTGTCCTCCAGCAAAACCAACACTGTGCAATTTCCACTGGGGAAAAGGAGAGCTTGAGGAAGTACCCTTCCTTGGAGCACCTTCTCATGCACCCTCATGGCTCCAAGAGCTCCAGTTAAGTTCAGGACTGATCTCCAGCTGTGTCTTGGAGTTGTTTTGTGTAGTGGTTTGCTGTCTGGGCTTCACATACAGGCTCTGGATTTAGGCTGTAGGTAACCTTGTCTCCATGATAGACTTTAGGTATGTGTGGAACCATCTCCTGCTGTTCCCAAATGTACTTTCTCGATGTCTGACTCGTTGTCTTGCTCTTTGGGTGGCAGTGAAACCTGCCACCATCCCCACTGTGCTGCTGTTGAGGTGCTGTGTGTCTGTGCCCTGGCTGGTGAGGACACTTTCCTTGTGGAACAGCCTCATGCTTGCTGCTCCCTGACACCAGCAGCCAAAGGGAACTCTAATAAACCAAAGTGAAGGTTAGACACAAGGCAAAGAGAAAAACAACAGCTGCACCGCCCCCCCCCCCCCCCCAAAAAAAAAAACCCCAACAAAATGGGAACTAATACACAACAGGGCCAACATCCACAGCTTACAAAAACTTAACAATTTTCTTCCTGTTCTATGGCAACTTTGTCTTGCTGTGAGATTCTTCTGTCTAGGTCTTCTCACTCATGTCAGTAAACCCAATTTGTAACCCAAGACTAAAATACTGAGCAGAATGTGCCAGTACTAGGTTGCCTAAATAGAGCAGAGCTTAAAGTACAGCTATGTGCAGCTCGTGGACCAAAAAGGATAAGGTACTTCTAAAGGATTAGTCTGCCTCCTGTACAAACTCAGTCATCTTTAGAACAGAGTTCAGAGGTGATTTAATGAACTACTGTTCTCTTTTTGGATTTCTTCCTCACAGTGTGAAATTCATAACTTTTATAAAATGTATCAATGAATCATTGTTTTGTTTTAAAAGGCCTAGCAAATTTTAAGACACAACTTTGGTCCATATCTTAGAGTCACTTTTCTTATAATTTGCAACCTAAGTATCTGGCACTGAATTTCTATATTATGCTGTCTGTCTATCATGCAAGACACACATGAAAATATTTGTCCTGTAATTGGATAACTAATGAGTGTAGCAGTACCTAGGCAACTTTCTAAGATTTTGTTAAATTCCTTTCAGTCAGCTGCTCAGCTTTATTTGAAATTTGTAAAACTGGTCATTGAGAAGCTTTCTTTCTCAACATTACATTTTTTAAAAGTTGTGTTGGCTCAGATCTGAAGATAGGAAAATAATAGACTAAAGAAGGTAGATTTGAAGTCCTTGCTAACAACACACACCCCTTCATTGAGCACCAGGGCTTCTCTGCATCCCCCTGCAATGTGTTTGGGCCTGACTTGTGTTCAGCTCAGGTCTGGATGCAGCCACAGTTTGTCTGAGGGGACTGCTCAAGGGTTCAGTGGCTTCCCCTCTCTGCTGAGATAAAGCCACCCGATTCAAAGATTACTCTTCCAAATATCTAACTAAATGTAAGGACAGCAGAGATGCTTCATTTTCCAAAAGCCATTTCCAGCCCACCACATCCAGTGGGAGCAGGAGTTAAAAACCTGGTTTCTTAGCACTCCACACAAGCTTAGTCACCTTTATCCCCTTCTCATCACAAAAGGGGCTTGGCTGCCAGTTCTATCTTTTAATTCATAAAATTTAGTTTAATTTGTCTTGTTGAGTGGTCATGGGTGGATTTGGAGGAATTACTTCATCTTGCCTTGAGAGTTTATGGACTGCCTGTATTCTGAAGCACAGATTTTATGAAATGCACATTAGTGTACACACCTAGTGAATTCAGTCTGACAAGCATTGAGCAAGTAAGTAACACCTGTGGCTGGTGATTGTCTGAGATGTCTGTAATGAAATGCTGAAGTGTTTCATTTGACAGGACAATTACTGCATGTAACTCCAAAAGAATTTTTTTTTTCCCAGTAAATGCTCCCAGTAAAATACAAAAGCAAACTAGTAATAGCCTTTCTCCTTATTGTGCCAAGTCCTGAATTTTGTCCCATGTTTTTAACACAGATGAGAAAGAAGAGCAGGTGTAACCTGAGCTATGCACTTGCTGGTGCAGGTGTCACAAAGAGTGTGCCAGCTGTGGCTGTTTAAAAAGCTGGATGAACTGCCTGGAAAAGTGTTAACTTCACCTGGCCTATGTCCTCTTTTCCTGCTCCCTGCCAGACACAGTAAATGGAATACTTGACAGTGGCTGGGGAATGGAACCATCATGCAAAGCTAGGAAAAAAAACCCAGGAGGAATAAGGAACATCAGAAATGATAAAATATGTTTATTTTCTTATTGGTATATTAAGTCAATGAAAAATTATGTGTAACTCCTTTGTTGTTATATAACTTACCATCTCAATAAGAAGGGTGTAATAACAAAATCAATGCTTTGGTGCAACAACTAGCTTTAATTTATTTTTAAAAAGAAAAGAAAGAAAAAATGCTGTATATGCATTTAGTCTAATGACAGTCAAGCCTCTTGAAATCTCAGACTATTGTGTTTAAAAAATACATTCTATTTTTAAAATGTCTTTTGTGCTAGAAATTAGTTTTCTGCTAACTTTTAAAAATGTTCAGTTATCTTAAATTCTTCATGAGGAATAAATGTTAATATTCAAATACTAACCTTGGCTATTATATGGCTTAATTACAGGTTCCATTAATTCACCTTGCAGGATCAAGGGTATAGGAATTTATCTTGATCAGAAAGCGAATTTCTCAGAAGCAAGTAATGGATGTAATCAATTCAACCTAGAGTTGGCAAGTAAAATACAAGTTGAAGAGGCTTTGAAACATGGCTTTGAAACATGCAAGTAAGTGCCATCACTTGGTGACCCACTATCTTTAGTAGACACCTTCACCTACTGCTGAGGCTGGTGACAAATCTCATACTAAAAGCACTGATCCTTTTTATTGTAGCTATGGATGGGTGAAAGATGGATTTGCTGTTATTCCTCGGATAACATCCAACCAGAAATGTGGTCAGGGAAAAACTGGAATAGCACAATGGAATGCTGGCAAGGATAAAAAATTTCATATCTACTGCTTCAATTCCTCAGGTAAGTAAGCATGACAACTGCATTTTCTGTGTGTTTTGGATTATATTAGATTTTTTAAAATCTGCATGAAAAAAATCATAAAAGAGAGTAATTTCCTATAATTTGTTGACCCTTTCCCTCAGTCTTAAACATTGTGAAGCTGTTCTTAGCTCAGAAACTTCCAAGAAATGCAAAAGGTAAATTCAGTTAATCCCAATTAATAATGTGGTGCTACCATTAAAGCTCTTGAGGAAGAGTTGTTTTTACCATTACTTAATCCTGACACAATGCTTTTAATATGTTTTGATTATTTGGGCATGATAATTTAAAAGAGAGTGACTGAATCTTTAACCAGGGTGTCTGTGTTTAGTGTGTCTGCTCTTGCAAAAAAGGCTAAGAGTGGGGTACTTCAGAAAAATTTGATTTTTTTTTTTTTTTTAATAAAAGGAGGTCTATCCGTTAAGTCAAATTAAATTATAAGCCAGAACTGCCAAGAGACCATAAACTTAATTAGATTCCTAATCAGTAAAATCCAACAGCTCTTTTAAATTTAAATCACCCTAAGTGTGAAAAGACCTGCCCTTCCCCTCACTGGCTATTTATAGACTGAAGTCCAACAGTAGAACTTGATATAAGTTAGATCTCAGCACAACAGATGAATATTGTTTCTTAATGGCTTCTACTAAAAATAAGTAGCTAGAGATGTTGTGCTTCTACTTGTGTCCTATCTCTATGGTTATTACATTATAAATATCCCAATAATTAGACCAAATAAAGGGTCATTTCATTATTTATCATCAGTTGTAGACTTTGCCAATGAGTTTTAGATAACAAGAGGATATGTTAAAAAACCCTGAAAGTTTTCAGCAACACTGTGTGAACAAGGGTTGGAAAGCAGGAGAAATATGGAGATGCAAAGATGTAAAGACCTGACACCCTGCCTGGTGACTGTGAACATTGGAGGCTCCAAAGAGACTGAGGATAAAGCTGTAGAGAGAAGGCCTGTGCCACATGGTGATTCACTCCGTGAAATGTGTTATTCTGCATCAAAAGTGTTGTGTAGATTGGGTAATGCTACAGAGGCAGCAAGTAGCTCCAAATTATTTGCTTTGTTTTGCTTGAATTAAAAGAAAGTAAATACATATATGCTGTTAGAGTGTGTGAAGGAAGTTAAGCTTGCTCAATGGTTAGAAAACCATTTAATGTATATTTCATATTGGGATGATTCTGCAGTCCTTTATCTTAATTTCCAAACTGTTGCCTGTTCTAGGCATTTCTATCCATTTAATTCTGAAATATTTGTCAGAAGCTCATTTTGTCAATTTTCTTGTGCCAAAAAACTTGCCAAAAGCTCTTGAAAAACCATAGTGGAAAAAGTGTCAAGCCCCTGCTCTTTGGCATTTCATTCTGTGAAGGTGACTGCGTCATCAGACTCCCCACAGGGATTCACTTGGAAAACAGCACACACATCTTTTCCCCGTTATTTATGTTAACCTGGTTGTTACTTCAGTGAAATTTTTATAGCTTTACAAAATACAGAATTTCACTAGCAAAGTAGAATTTTCACATTTTCACAGGAGCCCGATTCAGTGCTCAGCTTCTCCAATTCCATATAAAAACTTCACTTGCACCTACATTTTTATATACACAACACCTACTTCTATTAAATTACTTAATTTCTGGAAATTACTTATTTTTCTTCAAACCTGAAGTTTTTTACTTCCCATCCTCTCCTCCCCACTTACAATCAAATATTTTTATTATCTCACACTGGTGCCTGATTTATTTGAAACTTTTGTGGGCTACATTATTTTACCGGAAATCAAATTATTTTTTCAAGTATCAACAGCACATGCATGTATTTTGAACATATATAGAATGTAATTGAAATATTTTTGAATAATGGGTACTCTGCTCTGTGGGAGGTTATACTGTTGGGTTTTATGTGCAGCATTACTCCAAGTGGTGTTCATGAGGGATATAGTCATTGGTATGGAATCATAAAATGAGTACCATGGTTGCTCAAAGGAGTGTGTAACTGTGTGAGTAATGATAAAAGCTGTATAATCTAGGTTGTAACCACATATTTGAAATAGGATATATTTGCCAGGTTTGGGTAAAACTTTTGTGAACAAAAAAAAAAAAAATTCCAGAAAGGAAAGACTGAGGAACAATTTCAATAATTGTGTGTGCAGTAAGTACAAAACTGGCATCCAACATAAAAGTTATGTATTTATTTTCCCTGCTGCAGATGTCCGGATTAATTCCTGTCAACCAGACCCAGCTACAACCACACTTCCTTTATCAACTGCATCAAGAGACTTAGCTTCATATTCAGCCTCTGATTTGACTGAGAACATCACAGCAGTGTCTGCTGTGACTGAGACTGAGTCAGAACAGCTCCCGAGAAAGAGATTTCGTGTGGTGTGCGTGACTGAAACACTCTCACCAACAGAGGGGCCCACCACCACCCCAGTGCCAGAGGAGCACTCGGCCACTGACTCTCCCAAGCACACTCCCCACCTGGCCTTTAAGAATGATGCTGTTGTTTTTGGAGGTAAAGGCCTTATGTAGCTGTTATTTAATGAAAAGAGCTATTTATGTAGAAATCAGTAGTCAAATTGTTCACTGCTATTTTTGTTTGCTTCTCCGGTGTCCATTTTGATATAGCTGAACCCAGAGGCAGAATAGGAGTGTTTTGGTTTTGCAGAACAAGGCTTATGGAGCAGAGGATTTTAAAATAGTTTTTAAGAAGAACTAAGATCTGCTTTTATACTTTATGATAAATTTTAATGTGAAACTGTGTAAGTTCATTCTGGGTAATGTGAATTGGAGTAAAAAAAATTCTGAAAAAATCTTGGCAAACACTCTCAGTGTAATGGTAAACTCACCAGGCTCTTCAAACTTTCTTGGCTTCTTTTGGTTTTAAGGAGAATTGCTCTTGAGATACGAGGTGTGAGTAAGCAATCCTAACACACAGCAGTGGAGAAACAGAGAAATATGAGGCAAGGCATGCCAACTGTAAGGATAGTTAATAACAAGAATGTGCTCTCCAAGCAGCTTGTAAAAACTCTCCAATGAGCAGATTAGACAAATATCTCTCAAGGATTGCCTAAATACCAGTTTTAGGCTATCCTGAAAGAAATGAACAGGAGTAACTCACCTTTTGATCTTCCTAATATTCTATTCTTCAGTTCACGTGTATGTACTCTCATAATAGGTTGGTTTTAGAAGAATGTGTATTTTTGCTCTTAAGCCTTCAGGACATCAGCTTTAAGTACATAAATAAAAACCCTGTGCTTGTATCACTTTTATCTCCAGGTATCCCCACTGCACTTCTTGTACTGGCAATCATCTTCTTCATTATTTCTGTTGTTCTAGCCGTCTGTTATATCAAAAAGTAAGTTGCCTTTTTTTTTTTTTTCCCTTTCTTGGAGTGAATTAACTAAAGAACAGAGAAGTAGCAATGATGACATAATAGTGTTGCACAAATTTAAAAAATCTTGAACCTTGTTTTTATGCAGATCAGTTTGTTGTTGCTGTTGCCACTCCCTGCTTTAGAAAAGAAACACAAAATAATATTGCCTACTTTTAATTGGTCAGTCATGCCTAGTGTGAAACATTTCCAATTGTGTCAAAATAGCAACACTGAAATGTGCATCTGTTCATACATAAACCAGTTTTATCCTTTCTTTTTCCTATGTCACACTCAAGGTGAAAGTTTTTATTATTGCACCATGATTTTGCTCAGAAAAAAATAATTGTTGAACTCATTTGTCAAACTGAAAGACCTTCAATACAGTGCATCATTAAATGCTACTAAAAAGTGTGCAGTTCTCCCACCCCAGCCCAGACAGCTGTATCTTTGTGTACCACAAATCCTGAACATACATTGTCCGTTTAAAAAAAAAACAAAAAAAACCAACAACAACCAAAATATTTCTTTAGAAAGCACACTGTTGGAAAAAGCACAATGATGTAGCATGCCACTATCCTCTGAGAGACTTCTGCTTGAGTATGGTAATTTCATTCTAGCTGTTTGAGTGATGCTACCAAACTATGTCACTATTTCTGCTTTACTATCTTTTTTCTTTTTAAAGGTACAAGAAAACCTTACCATTTTTAAACAAGAATCAGCAAAAAGAAACAGTTGTAACTACTGCTCTCAAAGAGACAAAATCAAATGACCAAACACCTGAGAAGGAAACACAGAATAATGGAAATAAGGTAGAAGAGTGTAAAACTAAGCCTGAGCCAACAGTAAAATGTCTAGAAGCAGAAGTTTAAAGGAAAGAATGTACAGTTCTTGATGGAAGTATAAAATAAAGCACACAGAGCTTAGTAGTGGTTTTAAACATAAGTGATTTGTAAATACTTTTATTTTCTCTACCTTTAACATATGAAACCTTGGTTTTTTAATAATTACTTCTTTGGCAACAAATATTCTTGCAGAAGAATATGATATCCTATTTACTTGAAATAAATTCTACAAATCCATATTACAGCTCATCTTTCATCTTTAATAAAGAAGCAATTTGGAATATGCTATTAACAACATGCACTACATTAACTATTTGCATGGAATTTAGATCAGTATATAATGAAAAGGTTTTTATATCTTGCTGGAGGATGTCTGCTAGCCTAATGCCTAAAATAAAAACTGGCACTGTAGTTCTTCCTCATGTAGATTAGCTTATTTCCATTCAGTAGTTGCATGCTGCTTTAAAAAATGTCTGTTTACAAACAGAAGAAACAGTTCTGTTTACAAGAGAGTGAAAACTCAAAGGATTAACCCACTGTCATTCAAATGCCCAAAGCAGGGTACAAAAATGCTGAGATGTGTGTGTGTATATACACAGCAATGAATAACTTACTTTGATACATTCATTGTATCATAATTTACTGTTTTATTTATTGAAACCATTATCATTCTTCTGCATGAGATATTTGACAGAGTGGGACAAAAAAAATCCTTGAACAAGACTTATACTGGAGATCTTCTGTGTGCATTTAAGTGTGGCTTTCATAATAAAGGTGATATGGGATGTCTGTGGTGCTCCCTAAAAAATAAACTGTGGTGAATATATTTGGACAATTTATTCTCATGAAAACTGTCTCATGGTAAAAAGAATTCATGTAACCATAACATTACAGAAGTAATTAGTTGTCATAACAACGCTAGGAGTTTATCAAATATTTTCCTGAATAAAGAATTTAGATAATTTATCTTTAGGTTTGAAGGAGGTTGTTATGCCAAAGGAAGTCTTTTTTCCTCCATCAGGCAGTTTAAAAAACATAGTCTTAGATAATAATAATAATTTTCAAAATAGCAAAATAGCAATACAACTGGTCACCTATATTGTGTTTTCAACAGTGTAGGATACTGGGTTATGAACTTGGATATTTTTCATTCACATAAATTTTAAAATGCCCAGTGTTTATACGTTCCACTAGTAATGATTTATAGTGCATTTCTAGCATTATACTTAAGAGATTTCCTGGGTTGTTTTTTGTTTTCTCTTTTTTCCTTTTTTTTTTTTTTTTGGTAGTTCAGAAATATTTTATGGCTCCAAGTGATTCAGTGCAGCTGTAAAAACTGCTCATTTCAGATGTCCATCAGCAGAATTTTACAGAAAAATGTGCAACAGAGGACAGCACTAGACACAGCTTTCCCAGCCAGTTAAGGTACTCCTCTCCTTGCAAAGCATCACAGGAACACCTTGTGTCCTGAATGGAAGTGCTCTGTGAGGAGTAGACAGCACAAGTCAGGCCATCAGGAAGAGCCACAGCCACCAGTCATGAAGGTGCCAGAGTAGCAAACGGGCCTGAGGACACAGGCAAATGTGGTGGATTCCAGGTAGTTTGGGAAACTTTTTAAATCTCCATTCTGCCTCTCTTTTCCATGTTTTAGAGATTAGAAATTACCTGTTTGTGTTCTTTTCCCTACAGCCAAGAGATAATTATAATGTTTCTTCTGTTTTAGAGCTAAATAAGGGCACTTTTTTCCCCCTGAAGTGTTTACTTGCTTAAAAAAAATTCCTATTTTAATAAGATATTGTCTTAATCTCTAAGTGTCTTATTTTATCATGTACCTTAAAAACTCAGCATTCATCCTGACCTTCCCACTGCTACCTGACCAATGCACATGGTTTGATCTGCCCCTCCATTCCACTACACAATTTATCACAGGGGCTAAAGGAGCTGTTACACTGCTCTGTATGGAACAAAGGCAGCTCTAAGTACTAATCAACAAGTACTCTATTTGATATTGTCTCTAGGTAGTCAGCACAACTCAGTCACATTGGAATTGGAAAGTACAAAACATTCCTGCTCATTGTTTAATGGAATTGCAGGGGATGCACTACTGCAATGCAAACAGGAAACATTTAAGTATGTAGACTAAGAATGTCAAACACCAAACCCTTAACTAGAGGTAGCAGAAACTTAAGAGAAATTCTTCATTATGCTTCAGATTTTTCCTTAAGTGTTGTGCTTTTTTTTTTTTTTTAACAAGACCTTCTCAACAGTTCTGAAGCTCCTTGATGTGCCAGAGCTGCTCAAGCACCTTGGACAAATAACTCATCCCACCGAGCAGGAGAGCACAGTCAGTACTTGTCACTTGGTGCTAACACCGCCCAGATTCCCACACTGAGGCTACAGATGTTTGCTGACCTTAGGCAAAAGGGGTGCTTGGCCTGCAGGAAATACAGCAAAGGTTTCCAGTCCAGCCCAATCCCTGTCTAGAATATGGGAATGCCTTTGGCGTGGGAAGTACGTGTATCCATGTGTGAACAGAAGCAGGCAGGAAGGGGAAGTACTACTCCTTTTCTCCTCTTAAAATTAAGGAAAAAAAAAAGAGTAGAATTAAATATTGCAGCATCAGGATGTGGATGACCCAGAGGATGTTCTGGGATGTCTGTTTCTCAATGACTTTTTGTCGTTTATGGGTGTTGGGGTTTTTTTGTGAAAAGGTCAGTGAGCATTGGCCTTTGCCACTCACATCCACCGCCCACATCCTCCCTGCAGACCAGGATTTGCACCAGCAGCTGTGGCCTGGCATGATCCCCTGAGCCAGGCACTCAGGTCCATTAAGCATCATTTAAAGCACTATTTAATAGAGCTCATAGTTAAGAGTGAAGGCACTATGAGTCCAGGACAGTGCAGCACCAGTGTGTATCTGCTGAGGGTGCAGCAAGGTGAGAAGTGATCCCAGTTTTGTCAGGGTCAAGGTGAAAAGTGTCCCGTTTATTACAGAGTGTTTCTTACACAAACCAGCTCTAGACAGCACTTCTGCTGTGTGTCAGAATGGATAATAGTGTGGCCAGCAGGAGCAGGGCAGGGATTGTCCCCCTTTACTGGGCACTGGTGCAGCCACACCTCGAGTGCTGTGTCCTGTTCTGGGCCCCTTTGGAAGGACATTGAAGGGCTGGAATGAGCCCAGAGAAGGGCAACAGAGCTGGAAAAGGGTCGGGAGCAAAATTATGATAAGGGAACAGGGGCTGTTTAGCCTGTGGAAAAGGAGGCTCAGGGATGACCTTATCACTCCCTACAACTGCCTGAAAAGAGGCTGTAACCAGGAGCGGGTCGGTCTTTTGTCCCAGGAAAGCAGCGACAGGATGAGAGGACATAGGCTGTGCCAGAGGAGATTCAGGTTCGACAGTAGCAGGAGTTTCTTCACTTGAAGGTTGATCAGACATCGAAATGGGCTTCCCAGAGCGGTGCTGGTGTTTAAGGAGCGACTGGACGTGGCACTCCGTGCCATGGTCTAAGAGCCAGGGCGGTGTTCGGTCACAGGCTGGACTCGATGATCTCGGAGGTCTTTTCCAACCTAACCGATCCTGCGCTCCTACGGATGTTCTGGCGGGGCCCGCTCCGCTCAGCGACAACGCCACCGCCGGCTGCCCTGGGTGCAGTGGCCTTGCAGCCGGGATCAGGACGGAGGGAAGGATGCCGAGGGCTGTGAGCGGCGCCGGGGCCGCTGTGAGAGCGGCGGTGAGGGCAGCGCCGCCCGGGCCCCGCTCCGGCCCCGCGTCCGCCGTGTCCCGGCAACGGCGCGAGCCGCGCGCTTGGCCCGTCCCGCGCCCCGCGCTGAGGGCCGGCACCGGGAGAGGGCGGGCGGGGCGCGCCTGGGCCGTGAGGGGCTGAGCTCGGGGCCGTCCGCGCCGCTCGGGGCGCCTCGTGAGTCTGCGGGTGACGCGGGGTGTGGGGGGTCTTGAAGGGTGAACAGTAGGGAACATTCCGTAGAGCCTTGTTGGAGGGGACCCACAGGGATCAAAGTCCAGCACAGCACACCCCAAGAGTCACCCCATGTGCCTGAGAGTGTTGTCCAAACGCCGCTTGAACTCTCTCAGGCTTGGTGCTGGGACCATTCCCTGAGGAGCCTGTTCGGTGCTCGACCATTCTCGGCGTGAAACTTTTCCCGATACCCAGTTGTGCAGACATCCTCGCAGGTGTTTGTCCCCGATCTTTTCAGTGCTGGCTTTAGGCGCTGAGCTCGGCAGGCCCGCAGGAGGCACGGTGCTCCCTGAGAAGCTCGGGGGGGCACCAGCCCGGGAGATCCGGGAGGAGCTGTCTGCAAGGTGACAGGTTGTGCTGTTGACGTGTGTGGCCTGGGCGTGTGCTCACCAAACACTCCCCGGAGAGAGGAGGCGACTGGAGCCTTATCGGGAACGGGAAAAGTGGCTGGAGGGGGAGCATATCTGTGTGGGAGCAGAAATTGGTCACAATTCCAGCCGTACATTGGAAGCTTACTGTGGTGAAATTGCATAGTACTTCAGTATTGTTGCTTGGTGTGCTGTGTTTTTCTGGCACCGTGGCGAGATCTCAACAGCTGTAAATTTTGTTCTGGGTGGGGTTAAGCCCAGGTGCTGCTACAGCTACCTGCAGGGCAAAGTGCTGCTTTCTCTGTGGTGTCTGCCTTCAGGAGTTTGTAACGCAGCTCCTGCCAGACTGCTCCATGTGTGAGTTTAGGTGGATGTTCTGCAGTTCGCTTGCCCTCACACACCTCTAGCTGTAGAAGTCTTAAAAGGACCTGACACAACTGGTTTGTGTGATGAACAATGAGCTCTACAAAGAGGCATTTTGGGGGAAGTCAAATGCAGGGGGATCAAGGGGAGTAAGTAGATAAATACTCAGAGGGCATGGCATTAATCCTTCGGCAGACTTTTGGGGAAAAAGATTTGGGTGTGAAGGAAAGATAAAGTAAGTTGGAGACATTTGAGCAAGTCAGTTCTGTAATACAGCCTCAAGTTGAGCGTTTTGTGCAGATAGGGAGCTCTCTAAATTGGTTTATACTGACATGGATTCCTTGGCTTACCAGTTTCAGCATGCTGTGGGAGTTCTTTTGATCTGCCAGTGTAAGTTTGATGTAAGAAAGCTGATTCCTAATGTGATGTCTATGTATAAACAGACATTGTGTGCTTATTTGCAGACATTCTGATATTCACGTGCATAAATATTTAGAATAAACAAAGATTGTCATAAATTACCATTGTCATCTTAAGATTTTTTTTTGCATTCCTTTGGATGTATTTATATATGTGTGTGTTGGTGCTGAATCTGTGGGGAAAGTTATCTCCATTTAATACAAGTATTGCTGTAAGCAAAATAGTTCATTTTTAGCAAGAGTATAATGCCACATTCCAGACTCTTTGTAGTGTTCTGTGGTGTTTCTGATCTAACTATTCAGATTGTGTTACTTGTGGAATAATTACTGTAGACTAAAAGAAAGTGAGGGAGTAGCCATTCATAAACACACAAATGTAACTCTCAAATATTTTTGGCAGAGACTCTACAAGTGAATGAGAACTTCTCTCTACAGAATTGAGGTGAAGAACTTCACCATGGGTCAACAGATTTCAAACCATACACAAACTGTAATTAACAAGTTGCCAGAAAAAGTAGCAAAGCATGCCTCTTTGGTTCAAGAAAGTGGTTTCCTAACCTATGAAGAGTTTCTGGGAAGAGTAGCTGAACTCAATGATATGTAAGCCTTACTTTGCTTCTTTTTCTTTTCTTTTCTTTTTTTTTGTGTTTTACAGAGACCTTGTATGCAATATATTATCATGTGCTGGCTAAGCCAGAACT